TAATCAGCAAGAGACAGAGAATAAAAGGAGAGCTAAATTGAAATCAACAATGAGCAACCTTTAAGCCATGCATTTGGCACCACACAAACCTGCTCACAGCAATGCCTGTCCTGGTGACTTGATTTCCATTTTTCACCTGTTCCTTCATGGAGCTTAAATTTGGGGAGGCAACAAACCTCCTCTTGTGTATTATCATGTAAAGAAAACTCTGGAAGATTTCTGTTCCTTTATTGAATAGAACATTTAGATGTAGGAATACATTCTCTAGCACCAAACAGCGTCTACTCTGATGGAGTGGATAGCAGCTCCGCTGCACAAAGAAGGATATGCTCCCAGCACTTTGTAAGCAAGTTTCTTTTTTTCTATTCTTGATCAAATTACTCTTGACTTTTTCATTTCATTGGATAATCCAGAAGGTACAACTCAGAGAATTCTTTTTTCAATTTTCTCAGATGATCCCAGTCATTAGTGGAAGACTAAAAGATAAATCTCGGCCGACGCCGCAGCTCACTAGGCTAATCCTCCACCTTGTGGCGCCGGCACACAGGGTTCTAGTCCTGGTCGGGGCGCCAGATTCTGTCCCGGTTGCCCCTCTTCCAGGCCAGCTCTCTGCTGTGGCCAGGGAGTGCAGTGGAGGATGGCCCAAGTCCTTGGGCCCTGCACCCCATGGGAGGCTAGGATAAGTACCTGGCTCCTGCCATCGGATCAGCGCGGTGCACTGGCCGCAGCGTGCCGGCTGCAGCGGCCATTGGAGGGTGAACCAACGGCAAAGGAAGACCTTTCTCTCTGTCTCTCTCTCTCACTGTCCACTCTGCCTGTAAAAAAAAAAAAAAAAAAAAAAGATAAATCTCTCCCATGAGAGTATTTTAGGCATGGAAAGCCAAGACACTCTGGGCAAAAAAAAAAAAAAAAAAAAAAAAATGACCTAAATGAAAGATCTCTGTGAGTGAGATCCCAGTAGAAAGAACGGGGCCATCAAAGAAGGAGGTACCTTTCTCTGAAGGAAGGAGAGAACTTCCACTTTGACTATGACCCTGTCGGAATAAGATCGAAGTCGGTGAACTCAAAAGGCTTCCATAGCCTTGGAAACTCATGACTAGAGCCTAGGGAGATTTCTGACGCCATAAACAAGAGTGTCAATTTGTTAAGTCAACAACAGGAGCCACTGTGTACTTACTTCTTATGTGGGATCTCTGTCCTTAATGTGTTGTCCAGTGTGAATTAATGCTATAACTAGTACTGAAACAGTATTTTACACTTTGTGTTTCTGTGTGGGTGCAAACTGATGAAATCTTTACTTAATATATACTAAATCGATCTTCTGTATATAAAGAGAATTGAAAAATGAATCTTGATGTGAATGGAATGGGAGAGGGAGTGGGAGATGGGAGGGGTGCAAGTGGGAGGGAAGTTATGGGGGGAAAAAGCCATTGTAATCCATAAACTGTACTTTGGAAAATTATATTTACTAAATAAAAAATTTTAAAAAAAGATAAACCTCAAGGGAGTCATTATCAGCAGAACATTGTGGAGGAAAACATCCTGGCCAAAGCCAGATATGAGCTAACACTGTAATGAACCTGCTGGGTGGACAGAAGATCTTATAGAAAATCCTACAACAGATCTGGGCCTCATTGTCTCAAAAATTGAGGGATTGGATTGACTACTTATAAAACCCATCCTAGTTCTATATTTTTGTTCTATCTTCAGGAATATTTTATTCTATAAACTATGTTTTATAAAATTTTATTTTATTATGGTTGCTTTCCATTAAATACCAATTTTATTAATATGAGAACAGATTTCAGATCTCATGTATTTCATAGGTACAGTTCTAAGAAGATAACTATACTTCACTCCCTCCCTTCCTTCTTCCCTAATTCCCCCTCATTCCTTGCCCTCTTTTCTTCTTTAATTTTTGCAAGGTCATGTTTTCAGTCCACTCTATAATAAATCAAAACTAGCCATATATTCAACAAGTAAAAAGGAAGACTACAGTAACACAGAAATAAAAACAAGGGCTACAAACAACAATCATATCACAAGATGTCCATTTCATTCCTATACACTTTTTTATTCTATATTAACTGTCACATTTCAGAGGAAACATGATATTCATCTTTTTGGGGCTGGCTTATTTCACTGAGCATAATGGGTTCCAGTTGTGTTCATTTTGTTGTAGAAGACAGGATTTCATTCTTTTTATGGCTGAATAGTATTCCATAGTGTGTGTGTGTGTGTGTGTGTGTGTGTATACACCATATTTTCTTCATCCAATCATCAGTTGATGGACATCTGGATTGATTCCATACCTTAGTCATTGTGAATTGAGCTGTAATAAACATGGAGATACAGGTAACCCTTTCATATACTGATTTCAAGTTTGTTTGTGTAAATTCCCAGGGTAGGATGGCTGGGTCATATAACAGATCTATTTTCAGATAATAAATCCCACTTTTTTATATACTCTGTCTTCATACCCAACAGAAACTGAAGGGGTAGAGACATAGCATGAACATGGGAGGATGGTGCCACCAATAATGCTTGCATTCTTTGGGCATTCACAGTCCAGGTATTGGCCTAGACATGTGCTCTATCTCATTTAATCTTCACAACAACCATATATAGTAAGTACTATTATTCTCATTTAATTAAAAAATGAAACTGACTTGTGTATGTTGGAAAATTGACAGCTAGGAATTGCTATAGCTGAATGTCTATCCCTTCCCCCATGGTCTGTGTTTTCAAGCACTGTGTCATATCTGGATTTCTATATATGTCCCACTTTGAGGGTTGGAATGAATCAACCGTAGGCAGGTAACACCTAGGGAGAAGTGTTAAAGGGAGCCATCAGGAAAGTTTACATATAAAATGTAGTCTTGAGAGGAGAGCAAGGAAGGGAAAACAAAACTGTGCTGCAGAGATGCTCAGATTGTGGTGTAACCCTGGATGAAGCGTCACATCCAAGGCAAGACATGGAAAGTGAGCTACGGCCTTGGTAACCTGCAGAAGCCTTAGCAGAATTCTCTCCAAACGGTCCTCCCCAGAGTACAACAGGGTCACATAGAAATTCTCCTTCAAACAGTACCTAGTGGTGCTATAAGGAAATACAAGATTTTCTGTAAGACCATGGAAATAGATGCCAGGAAACAGCTAGCAAATAGTTCATGCTGGAGTACACCAAACAGGCTCTCCAGATTGGTCAAAGAGGAAAAGGAGAGGTGGAGAATGCATACTAGGAAGAGATCCCATGTGCCTGATACTTAAAATTAAGATGACATAACAAGTGCATTTGCTGCTGCCATTCGATAATGCCAGGCCATTTGTTTCACCTGCTGCAGACCTCAGAGGCAACCATGCTGACCATTTAGAAAGTTTTTGATCTTAATGAATGTTGACATTGAAATATCAGAAGTGGATTGCCTTCATCATACATAATTGGCTCTTATGAAGAAAGGATTATGTTGAACCTACTCAAACCTTTATATTAACTACCAGTTTATTGTATATACAGGGGATAAAGAAACAAATTAAATGATATCAAAAGGAAGTTAAAGCCAAATCCTATAATCTCTGAGACAAGTAATACAATTTCTGCAACTACAAGTGACCCCGTTTCTCCAACAAATTAGTGGCATGAAATAAGGAAAGATTGATACAGCATAAAAGATACTTAATAGATAGTAACATTTAAAATTTGGTGTACTAATACAACTTCTAGTAATTTCTCCTGAGTATATAATTGGACAAGAGGGTATGGATATTGTATTGTGTATTCAGTGTGTGTTTCTTTCTAATGGTAGAAATATTAAGTATTATGGAAAGAGATGCAATATCAAGACAGGAAACATATTAAGAGAGAAACGACAGCAGGTTACAGGCATTGGCTACTAATGGAATGGTATAGTAATCAGAAAACCTAGATTTTAATGCAAAGACTACTTCTTACTATTGGCTCTTCGACAAATTAACTTTCCTTAGACTTGGTTTCTTTATCTTAAAATGAAGATGATTAAAGTTCATATTCCATAGGGATGCTATGAGATGAAATACAATAATATGAAGCGCAGGACCTGACAGAGGAACGGTGTGATATATCCTCCGCGAATATACACCAGACTTTTTAAGAGAAGAAATTAGGGAAAGACTTTTTCCCCTTCTCTTCTGGATAGACTTTCATTATCATTCAACTCTAAAAGTTTTGTAATTTTAATTGTGGGTATATTTTTAATTAATAAATTTTATTTTCAATTTATTTTTATATTTACTTATCTGTAATAAAATTGTACATGTTTATGAATACCATATGATTTGTCTTCATACACATACATAATGTGTAATGTTCAACTCAAGGTAAGTATCTCTTCTCTTCAAACATTTATCATTTCTTTGTGGTGAAAACATTCCAAATCCTTTCTTACATCTGTTTATGAGATTATAATATATTATCATTATCTACTGTCACCCTATGGTGACTCATTTCTCCTATTGAACTATGCCTTGGTATCTATTGACCATACTTTCCCTTTCCTCCCTTTCCCCTTTTCCCCAGTCTTTGGTGACCACTATTCTTTATTTTTTTTGACAGGCAGAGTGGACAGTGAAAGAGAGAGAGAGAGAGATAGAGAGAAAGGTCTTCCTTTGCCATTGGTTCACCCTCCAATGGCCGCCATGGCCGGCGCACTGCGGCCGGCGCACCGCGCTGATCTGATGGCAGGAGCCAGGTACTTATCCTGGTCTCCCATGGGGTGCAGGGCCCAAGCACTTGGGCCATCCTCCACTGCACTCCCTGGCCACAGCAGAGAGCTGGCCTGGAAGGGGAGGCAACCGGGACAGAATCCAACGCCCCGACCAGGACTAGAACCCGGTGTGCCGGTGCCACAAGGCGGAGGATTAGCCTAGTGAGCCGCGGCGCCTGCCTGGTGACCACTATTCTATTCTAAATTTATTTGAGATCAACCGTCAAAAAAAAGATTTTATTTATTTTAAAGGAAAAGTTAGAGAAAGAAATCTTCCTTCTGTTGGTTCACTCCCCAAATGGTTGCAACACCTGGGTCTGGACCAGGCCAAAGCCAGGAACCTGGAAATCCATCTGGGTCTCCCACTTGGTGGCAGAGGTCCAAATTCTTGGGCCATCTTCCATTGCATTCCCAGGTGCCCTAGTGGGGGGCTGAATTGTAAGTAAAGCTGGGACTTGAACTGGTGCTCATGTGAGATGCCAGCAACAGAGGGAGAAGCTTAGCCCACTGCAACACAATGTTGTCCCTGAAATCAACTTTATTAGATTCCACATTTGAATTAGATCATATGGTAATTAATTGTATTTCTGCACCTCGCTTAGTTCAGCTACCATAATGATGTCAGTTCCTTTGACAGTGTTGCAAATGACAGGACTTCATCTTTTTCATGACTGAATAGTATTTCATTATGTATTATTACCTAAATTTCTTTATCCATTCATTCAGTGCTTGGGCACTTAGATTGTTTGCATTTCTTTACTTTTGTGATTAGTTCTGCAACAAGCATGGGAGTGCAGATGTCTCTTAAACAGAATGACTTCCTTCCTTTTGGATATAAATCCAGTAGTGAAATGGCTGGATCATATGGTAGTTCTATGTTTAATATTTTGAGTAAACTTCATACTGTTTTCCACAATGGCTACACAAGAGTTCCAACTAGTGTGCAAGGGTTCTGTTTTCTCCCCATCCTCACCAGCACTAGTTATCATTATCTTTTTAATAATAGTCATCCTTACTGGCATGAGATGATATGCCATTTTGGTTTTAACTTGAATTTCCCTAATGATTAGTGATGACTTTTTCATATACCTTTTGATCATTTGTGTGTATACTTTTGAGAAATGTCTACCTGAGTCTACTGCCCATTTAAAATCAGATAATTGGAGATTTTTTTCTGCTGAGTTGAGTTCCTTGTATATTCTGGATATTAGTCCTTTTTCGAATGCATCACTTGCACATACTCTCTCCCAGTCTGTTGGTTGTCCCTTCATTTTGTTATTTCTTTTGCAGGGAAGGAACTTTTTAGTTTGATTGCAATTCCATTTGTCTATTTTTGCTTTTGTTTCCTGTTTATTTGGGGACTTATTTTTTTTTAATTGTTGCCTATTCCAGTGTCCTGAAGCATTTCCACCATGATTTCTTCCAGTACAATAAACTTCACTTTTAGAGGAGTTTTCTGTTCATGACGAAACTAAACAGAAAGAAAAGAGTTCCATTATATCCCCATCCACACACAAGCACAACTTTCTCTACTATCAACAGTGTATCCTTTCCAACCATGAGCTATTTGGGGGTGTAATTAAATTTTCAAGTAAAGGAGTATTTAAAACTACTAATTTTATATTTAATTGCACAGTCATCAGATGTAATTTGTATAATCTTGATTCTTTAAGAATTTACAAACATTCATTTTCCAATGCAGCCTAATACATGATAAATATTTGAAAAGGAACTGTATTGTCTGAATGCAAGGATCTTAGATTTTCTATGTGAGCTACAATTTTGGATATAGACTCATATTTTAAAATCTCCCACTGTGATGCTGGACTTGTCCATTTTTCCTATTGTTTTCTTGTATTTTCAATGGCTCTTTTCTTTTTTCCCAAAGAAACCTTTCATTTAAGAAGTACAAATTTCATAAGAACAACTTTATGAATATAGTGATTCACCCCACCATATCTGCCCTCCCACCCTAATCCAAACCCACCTCCTCCTCCCTCTGCCATTCCCAGTCCTATTCTCCATTAACATTCTTTTTTCTTTAATAAATCTTTTTTCTTTTTTTTTCTTTTTCTTTCTTTCTTTTTTTTTTTTTTTTTGACAGGCAGAGTGCAGAGTGGACAGTGAGAGAGAGAGACAGAGAGAAAGGTCTTCCTTTGCCGTTGGTTCACCCTCCAATGGCCGCCACAGCCGGCACGCTGCGGCCAGTGCGCCGCGCTAATCCGAAGGCAGGAGCCAGGTACTTCTCCTGGTCTCCCATGGGGTGCAGGGCCCAAGGACTTGGGCCATCCTCCACTGCACTCCCGGGCCACAGCAGAGAGCTGGCCTGGAAGAGGGGCAACCGGGACAGAATCCAGTGCCCCAACCGGGACTAGAACCCGGTGTGCTGGCGCCACAAGGCGGAGGATTAGCCTAGTGAGCCACGGCGCCGGCCTCCATTAACATTCATTTTCAATTAACTTTATACAAAGAAGATCAACTATTTACTAAGTAAAGATTTCAACAATTTACACACACACACACATAAACTGTTTGAGAACAAGTTTTAAAGTTAATTCTCATAATACAACTCATTGAGGACAGAGGTCCTGCATGGGAAGTAAGTACACAGTGATTCTTGTTAATTTAACAATTAACACTCTTATGTATGACATCAGTGATCACCTGAGGCTCTTGACATAAGCTGCCAAAACTATGGAAGCCTTTTGAATCCATAATCTCCATCAGTATTTAGAAAAGGCCATAAGCAAAATGGAAGTTCTCACCTCCCTTGAGAGAAAAGTATATCCTTCTGTAATGGCCACTTCTTTCCACTGGGTTCTCACTCACAGAGATCCTTCGTGTTGGACATTTTTTTTGCCACAATGTCTTGGCTTTCCATGCCTGACATGCTCTCATGGGCTTTTCAGCCAGACCAGAATGCTTTAAGGGCTGATTCTGAGGTCAGAGTGCTATTTAAAGTGATTGTCATTCTATGAGTTGCTGTGTGCACTGCTTCCCATGTTGGAACATTCCCTCTTTAAAAAAAAAAAATTGTATCCATTAATTACCAGACACTTGATCATATTTATATGATAACTTTAACACTTAATGCTATCTATATGTTCACTTTAACACTAACATGATCACTTTAACATGTAAGATGGAAATTTTACCACCAGCTTAATGGGATTTGGGGTCTCATGGCAAATTTTTAAACTGTACCCTTAGAAGTAAGTCCAGCCGGCGCCGCGGCTCACTAGGCTAATCCTTCGCCTAGCGGCGCCGGCACACCGGGTTCTAGTCCTGGTCGGGGCGCCGGATTCTGTCCCGGTTGCCCCTCTTCCAGGCCAGCTCTCTGCTATGGCCAGGGAGTGCAGTGGAGGATGGCCCAAGTCCTTGGGCCCTGCACCCCATGGGAGACCAGGATAAGTACCTGGCTCCTGCCATCGGATCAGCGCGGTGCACTGGCCGCAGCGTGCCGGCTGCAGCGGCCATTGGAGGGTGAACCAACGGCAAAGGAAGACCTTTCTCTCTGTCTCTCTCTCTCACTGTCCACTCTGCCTGTCAAAAAAAAAAAAGAAGAAGAAGAAGAAGTCCATAGAAATGTACGTAGAACTATACAGCTTTACAGTAACAAACTTCCTCCTCCCTCTCTTATTCCGACTCTTATTTTTTACTGAGATTTATTTTCAATTGACTTTATACACATATGATTAACTCTATGTTAAGTAAGGAGTTCAACAAATATTATGAAGAAGAAAAAAAAAACTGTTCCTCAACAGTCAAGACAAGGGCTCTTCAAGTCATTGCTTCTCAAAGTGTCAATTTCACTTCTACAGATTTCCTTTTAGGTGCTCTATTAGTTCTCACATATCAGTGAGAACATATGGTATTTGTCCCTTTGGGACTACTTATTTCACTAAGTATAATGTTTTCCAGAGTCATCCATTTTGTTGCAAATGACCACATTTCATTTTTCTTGCCTCTGTGTAGCATTCCATTGAGCACATATCCTGTAATTTTTTTATCCAGTCTTTGGTTGACAGCCATTTAGGTTGATTCCATGTCTTAGCTATTTTGAATTGAGCTGCAATAAACATGGAGGTGAAAATAACTCTTTTATTTGCTGATTTCATTTCCCTTGGGTAAATTCCCAGGAGTAGGATGGCTGGGTCATAAGGTAGGTCTGTATTCAGATTTATGAGGTATCACTGTACTATCTCCCATAGTGGTTTTATCAGTTTACATTCCCACCAACAGTGGATTAGGTTACCTTTTTCCCACATCCGCACCAGCATTTGTTGTTTGTTGATTTCTGTAGGAAAGCCATACTAACTGGGGTGAGGTAAAACCTCACTGTGGTTTTGATATGCATTTCCATGATGCCTAGTGATCATGAACATTTTTTCATGTGTCTGTTGGCCATTTGGATTTCACTTTTGAAAAATATCTGTTTAAGTCTTTTGCCCATTTTGTAACTGGGTTGTTTGTTTTGTTGTGTGGAGTTTCTTGATCTCTTTATATATTCTTATTATTAATCCTTTATCAGTTTCATAATCTGTAAATAATTTCTCCCATCCTGGTTGTCTCTTCACTTTGCTGAGTGTTTCTTTTGCAGTACAGAAGCATCTCAATTTGATGTAATCCCATTTGTTAATTTTGGCTTTGATTTACTATGCCTCTTTGGTATTTTCCAAGAAGCCATTGCCTGTGCCAATATTTTGCAGGGTTTACCTAATTTCCTCTAATAATTTGATAGTACCAGGTAATAGATTTAGGTCTTTAATACATTTTGAATGGATTTGTGTTTAAGGAATAAGGTAGGGGTCCAGCTTCATACTGCTGCACTTGGAAATCCAGTTTTCCCAGCACCATTTGTTGAAGAGATTGTCCTTGCTCCAGGGAATTGATTTAGCTCCTAGGTCAAATATAAGTCAGTTGTAGATGCTTGGATTGATTTCTGGCATTTCTATTCTGGCCCATTGGTCTACCCATCTGTTTTTGTGCCAGTACCAGGCTGTTTTGATTATAACTGCCTTGTAGTATGTCTTGAAATCTGGTATTGTCCTTTCCACACCACCCTGCAAGGAGTCCATATGGTGTTGTTCTTGAGTCCTGGCTTAACTTAAGGGGAAGCTGTCATGATGTCCAGAGCCCTTGATGTCCTGAAAATGAAGGAGGAGGATGTCCTCGAGTTCATTGCAGCAGGAACCCACTTAGGTGGCATCAACCTTGACTTCCAAGTGGAACAATACATCTACAAATGGAAAAGTGATGGCATCTACATCATAAATCTGAATAGGACCTGGGAGAAACTTCTGTTGGCAGCTCGTGCTATTGTGGCCATAGAAAACTCTGCTAATGTCAGTGTGATATCCTCCAGAAACACTGGCCAGAGGGCTGTGCTGAAGTTGCTGCTGGCACTGGAGCTACTGCTATTGCTGGCCCCCTTCACACCTGGAAACTTCACTAACCAGATCCAGGCAGCCTTCTGAGAAACATGGCTTCTGGTGGTTGCTGATCCTAGGGCTTACCACCAGCCTCTCACAGAGGCAACTTATGTGAACCTGCCTACCATTGCTCTGTGTAACACAGATGCTCCTCTGCACTATGCAGACATTGCCATCCCATGCAGCAACAAGGGTCTGATGTGGTGGATGCTGGCCCAGGAGGTTCTGTGCATACATGGTACCATCTCCCGTGAACACCCTTGGGAGGTCATGCATGATATCTACTTCTACAGAGATCCTGAAGAGACTGAAAAAGAAGAGCAAGCTGCCACTGAAAAAGCTGTGAGCAAGGAGGAGTTTAAGGGTGAATGGGTGGATGGCCCAACACCTGAGTTCATTTCTACTCAGCCTGAGGTTACAGACTGGTCTGAAGGTGTGCAGGTGCCCTCTGGGCCTATTCAACAGTTCCCCACTGAAGACTGGAGTGCTCAGCCTACCAGTGAATATGGGTCTGCAGTTCCCACTGCTCAGGCCATGGAGTGGGTAGGAACAACCACTGAGTGGTCTTAAGCTGCTTTTCATGGTCTCTGAAGCAAGCATGAAAATGAGATTGATGGAAAATATACACCAGTTTATACAGAAATAAAAATCCCATATGTGCACCAGGTTCTAGTTCTGGTTGCTCCTCTTCCAGTCCAGCTCTCTGCTGTGGCCTGGGAGGGCAGTGGAGGATGGCCCAAGTGCTTGGGCCCCTGCACTCACATGGGAGACCAGGAGGGAGCACCTGGCTCCTGACTTCAGATCGGCATAGTGCCAACCGTAGCAGCCATTTAAGGAGTGAACCAACAGAAGGACTACCTTTATCTCTGTCTCTTTCTCTCTCACTGTCTATAACTCTACCTGTCAAATAAATTTAAAAAAAAAGATGGCCAAAGAAAGAAAGAAAGAAAGAAATGTCCCATTACTATTGTATTGGAGTCTATGTCTCCCTTTAGATCTCTTAACATTTTTTTAAATAGCCAAGTGCCCTGTAATTAGGTGCATATACATTTACAATAGTTACATCTTCTTGAATTGGTCCCTTAATCATTGCATAGTGCCCTTCTTTGTCTCTTTTAACAGATTTTGTGTTAAAGACTATTCTACGTGATATTAGGATGGCTATACCAGGTCTTTTTTGGTTTCTGTTCACATGGAATACCTTTTTCCATCCTTTCACATTCAGTACGTGTGCATTTTTGTTGGAGAAATGTGTTTCTTGTAGGCAACAAATAGATGAGTTTTGGTTTTTATATCATTCAGCCAGTCTGTACCTTTTAACTGGAGAGTTGAGGCCATTTACATTCAAGCTGACTATTGATAAGTAATAACTTTGCCCTGCCATTTTCCCATAAATAATCCAATTTTTACATTGGATTTCCTTTGTACTTTTACTGGCAGATTTTCTTCCTTTACCTTCTTTCCTAGTGATAACCATGTTTCTGTGTTTCTGTGTGCAGCATATCCTTAAGCATCTTCTGCAGGAATGGATGGGTGATGACAAATTCTTTCAATTTCTATTTGTCATTGAATGTCTTGTTCATAAATCAGAGTTTTGCATGGTATTGTATTCTGGGTTGACAATTCTTTTCTCTTAAGTCTTGGAATATATCTCACCATTCTCTCCTAGCCTGTGGGTTTTTGATGAGAAGTCTGCTGTGAGTCTGATTGGCATTTCTCTCATGCATGTTTGGAATCTTTTCTTTTTGTTTTATTGTGGAGAATTTGATCACAATGTGTCATGGTGAAGATGTTTTCTGTCATGTCTATTAGGAGTTCTGTGTGCTTCCTGTACTTGGATGTCTGTTATTATTTCACTAAAAAGGCCTTCTAATCCTTTCTCTTTCCACACCTTCAGCTACTCTTAGAACCTGTATGTTGAGTTTGATAGTATCCTATAGATTACCAACAGTGTTTTTTTTAGTTTTCTAATTTCTTGTTCTTGTGTTTGGTCTGATTGTATAATTTCCTGTTCTTGTCTTTGAAGTTTGATATTCTTCTTCTGATTCACTGATTCTGTTGTTAGTGTTTTCCACTGCATTTTTATTTGTTCTATTGAATTCTTCATTTCCAAGATTTCATTTTGATTTCTCTTTGAGATCTCAGTTTCATGGGGGAAATTTTCTTTCATGTCTTGTATGGATTTCATTAGTTCATGTGTTTGCTTCTGATTACTTCTAAGTAATCCTATGATCAATTTTTTGAATTTGATTTCTGAAATTTCTTCAGTGTCATCAGCTTCACAATCTAGTGTTGAAGTGTTGTGTACTTTTGGGGGCATCATGTTGTCTTCTTTATTTTTGTTTCTTGAGTTGGTTCATTTGTTATTCAGCATTTGTATAGATACTTGTTGCCCTCCACGTAGGTTCACTGTGTCCCTCCAATTTGTGTAGAGTTTCCTCTGCTGTCTTCTCCCTAACTCTTCCCTGAGATTGCACTCTCTCCACTTTTTTTAAACTACCTTCTCCCAGACTAGAGCAGCAAGCTCCCTCCCTACTCTGCCATCTTAATCCAATCTGGCCTTTTTAATATTTAATATTTTTCACCATATATGCAGTTTTCCTACCTAAAGTGTTTGTATAAGGTATCACAATGGAAGGAATAATGGAACAGATTGGAAGACTGCAAGCAATGTGAGAGGACAGTGTAGTGGTTCCTAGCATGCCTTTTTAATAAAAACTGATCCATGCTCTGAAGGTGATTACCTCTAAAGGTCAATTTATTCATCTGTAAAGTGGGGATGATGACAAAAATAGTATCAACCCAGATCCAAATCCACATCTTTGAGGTCATTTGGAGTAAAGGTCAGGATGTAGCAGAACCTTGACAAGTTTCCTGAAAGTCCTAACTGGGAAATAAATCAATGCTGCTTTTGAATAATACATAGATTTGAGAGAGTTCACTTACTTGTAGGAAGGTAAAGGAAATTGTAAAACACATTTTCCTAGCTGAAATCCCCAGGTGGTCATTGTAGTGTTATATTAGTCTGTGTTCCTGAATCATTGGTTCATCACCCCAGTGTTCAGAGGCACAGGAGTAGCCATGGATAAAGCAGAAAGTCTCCAAATTCTTCATGTCATTACCTGTTCCAAAAGTAAATGGAAATCTTTCCTCAATTATCTTGTGAGTTCCAACAAAAACAAAGTAATTCATTAATTCAGTCATAATATTGCTAACATCCCAAGAACTTAGACAAAATGACAGCACAATCTTATTTCATGTCTGTTCTGTTCACTTCTTACATAAATTAAGAACTTTTTCCATCTCTTTTTCCACAAAAGTTCATGAAACCAAACCTAATCTTCCCATAACAAAATATATCCCAAGAAGTGAGCCTCAAAGTCTGAAGATGGCTAAAGGAACACACTGCCCAGACTGAACAAAAGTTATAAGAATTAACTCTCTGAAGAATCCAAAAATATTTAATAGACTTGTGTAGCTCTTAAAATCTGCCTTCAAGGTGAGCATTGTGGACAATGGGTTAAACCACCACTTGGGATGCCTGCATGCTGTATCAGAGGGATGAGTGTTGCCCCGCTTCCTATCCACCTTCCTGCTAGTGCACACTCTGGGAGGCAGCAGGGATGGCTTTAGTGCTTGAGGCCCACATGAGTGTCTAAGATAGAGTTCCAAGCCCCTGGCTTTGATTTGTCCCATTCCTGACTGTTTTGGGCCTTTGGGGAGTGAATCAGTGGATGGAAGATCTTTTTCTCTTTCACTTTTGAGCAGATGAAAATAGATAAACTTAAAAAATAAAAATAAAAAGCATCCTGCTTTGACCACGATTTATCCAGAGCTCAGTTCAGTTGAATAACAATTGTGTGTGCCTCTGCTATGAGCCAGAAAGTGTTCTAGAATTTGGGGAAACCAAAATTGGTAAGACATGGTCCATAGTGAAGGAAATCCTAATCTGTTTAAAAATATGTTAATCAATAAGTGCAATTGAAAGCAGAGAGCCTCCAGGTGTTTGATGCACATGGCAGGTTTATTTTTAATCCAGAGACTTCAAATAGAAACATGACTTTGCAGGTTCTCCCAAAGACTCAGCAGTACTCAAAGTGCAATGTTTTAGAGCTATATTCCCATATGGCTGCAGTGCTTAGAAGAAAGTTCTGTTCTCCTTTGATGGCACAGGAATTCTTCAAGTGGCCCTGGTCAGCAGCCAGCTGGGCTCACACACTAAGACTATCTTTGTGGCTGCTGTGGGATCAGAACCTGTGACAATTGTCCTAATCAAATCATCACAAGCAAGATGGTTTTCTAAATAATTCATGTTCATGTTCACAGTACTTAACAGCATGTGTCTTGACCCTTCCCTGTATCTGAAGGCAAGATCTAAACAACATTATTTTAATAAATACAAAAACCCATGCAACATGGGCTGCAGGAGACCTTAGGGCAGCAAGGAGAGTTAGTTTCTTTAGTTAGGGAGAAAATGTACTAAGTATGGGAATCTGTCTATAGTGAGCTGGATAAAACAGCAGGTCATGAACTGATTTTTTTTTCATAATGGCAAACCTATATGTTTATAATTTTTAATCCTTTCAGCAAATAACCTGTAAGAATGAAAGGGAAAAATTTGCTATTAAACAGAGAACATCTATGAAGTGATTGCCCATAGTCATATCCTAGCTTCAAATTTGTGATATGGTGTTCTCTATATTGGGAAAGTGGGAAAGAGTAAGAAGCCAAACTGAATTCTAGGAAGGAAGAAAATGCAGTTTGAAAATAAATTGTTCAGAGTCCTCCTAACAAGTGAATATGGAACCTGATGTTAGTTTCTGATTGAAATTTCCAGAAAATGAGTAAAGCATTTGAAACTTCAAATACATTCATGCTCTTAATTTCCAAGGTTCAACTACATCAGTTTATCGCACATGGATTTTAGATTTCAAACCTTGAAAAATATTCTTCCTAGGTTCATGGAAGGGTTTAGTTTCAAAACCGTGGCACAGAGGGTTTCTGATTACCTTTCGAAACAAATAGCCTTATTGGTTCAAAACAATCAAGGGTCTCCCTTTATTTGCATTTCCATTTATAGAAATAAAAATTCTTCCTTAAACAAATTTCAGTGTAACTAATGAACATATGCATTTCTTCCTTTTTTTTTGTCATCCTCTGAGTACTGGGGTATAAAGGAGACTATTATATGGGAGCTTGAGCTGAATTCGTGGCTTTGATGTTAATTTATCCAATGATTAGAACCCAGTGTGCTACCTTTCTGCTAGGAATGAAGCAGAAAAGAAGGGTTAATTGCACTGTACCTACAAATATGCACAATGGGAACCATAATAAACAAAAGCATATGAACTGCATGGTGCTGTCAAGTTCCAGGACACTTAGAGTACATGAATAAAAACTTTATTCCATCAACTATTTACATTGTTAAGAACCTGGTTTTTCAAATTGTCCTCCACGAATGTTCACCTTCCAAAATTATTCCCTTTTATTAACCCAGCAACACATAGTAAAAGAAAACTTGAGTTAAAGCTTGACGGTAAGTGATATTTACCAACAACCTGGGAGGGATTTAGCCCAAGATTTGTAGCTGACCTACCATAGAGATAAAGGTAAAAGATGTCACAAAAGAAAACTACAGGGTTGAGGTGGAGGTCCTGCAACAGGACATACCACAGTGTTTTATAGAAATTGGATCTCTAAGAAACCTTGCTACTGGAGCAAACCCCTGACACTTCTCTGCCTTCCCGTGCCCTGAAATATTTCTGAGGTACCAGTGTTTCTCAGCATAATACAGTTCATCCATACCAGCATGCATTTGGATGGCATCCAATTACACTGTCAAGTTTGTATTCTTGTTAAGAAGGAAGAAACACAGGAAGTCAGAGAATTTGAATTCTTTCTTATGTGTTGAACTGTGTTTGGACAAAAGCCATCTTCCTTGGCCTAAATCCATGCAATTTGTCATTCTACAAGCGTATGCCTCACTCTCTTGCATCTATGTTTTGCAAGTTCTGGAATCTCCATCCCATGTTTCCCCTGTTGATAAACTCCCACTCATCCCCACAAATAAAGCCCAAGGCTCACTTCTTCTGAGAAGTCCCCCCTGATTCCCTTTCTTATGGCTTCGTTTATCTGTATCATATAACTTTACAAACATAATTGTTGACATGTGTGCTTATCTGTCTACTACCAAATGAGTGCAGGTGCCTTGTCTTTCCTGGGCTGAGTGCCCAAGGTTGATCTGGGGCTTAGAAAACATGTTGAATAAATGAAAGTATATATTCGTACTAAAATTGCACTGGAATGTTAGCTTATGAGAAGAGAGACTAACTTGTTCATTATCAAAGAGTAGGTTAATAGCTATGATTTCTAGGTACATTTTCTTTAAATAACTAAAGTAGATAGATGAATGTCCTGGCACCTAACAATAACAATAAATACTTCATGATGGATTGTACTTTTAAAAATAAAATATTTCTTGTATTAGGCAATTCTGTTGGAAATTAAAATGGGAATTTCCTTTTAAAAAAATACCCAATCCTTTCAACAACATAAAGACTTCCATTATAAAGTATTTGGATCCTTGTTCTTGAGGCCAAAAGAATTCATGGCACAAGTACAGTTACACTTAGCAGAAATCCAATTGTAACAAGATAATATCTTTAAAAATTAATTTTGTGCTTTCCTTTTCCCAGCTTCCTTTTATGTGACCACATTGTCTAAAGGAAAGTAGGATGATTAGATTGAGAATAAAAGAAAATATATCCTATGTCTTCAGTTCTCTGACTCTGAAACAGGCTTCTGAGAATCAAAGAGACATTTTGAGGAAGCCCAAAAATTGTGACATAGAAATAGAATAAGATTAGATGAAGGGCCAAGTCACCCACCCTACCCCTCCCAATAAGGACGAGCAGATACAGAGATGGAAGAGCTCTTGGGTCAGAGGATGGAAGAGAAGAGGACCCATTCTGATATACCACAGGGAAGAGACTTGGTATAGGAGAGAATGGCCAACATTAGAGGACCATCCAGAACTGTGGGGGTTCAATGTCAGCAGGAAAACTGTGGTCATCAGTCATCAACTGAAAGAGCAATGTACACAACATCAGTGGAAGAGCTATTTTACTATTCCTTCTGTCAACATATATTTTCATGCTACTTGTGATTTTTCTCAGCCTAAGAATATTCCCTTGTATTCCAAGACTTTTCTGAACTCTGTGAATGGCCCCCATTTTTCCATTATCCAAACTAGCCTTATACCTTTAACCAGCTCTTTAAGTAAAGTGAGAATCCTTGATGTCCAATGTGGCAAATGGAATAGAGTGGTATGAAGGAGAGAAGCCAATAGAGGTATGGGAAACACTGAACACTGGATAAGGATCAAATTTATATGTATACATACAAATATACATTTATTTATTTAAATGGAAGTTGTCATTGTCTGAAAACTCTTTGTGAAGCAGTAGTGAATTAAATTAGCAGATATCAGAATTAAATGAACCTGGTCAGATCCTACCTAATAATCAGATATTTTTGTGTTTAGTATTGAACACAGGAGCACATGTTAAGAATATGCACAGGAGGATCATATTAGATAGTCTAAGGCACTGGGGTGGAGGACTGGAAGACATACAACCTAAAGACGAGGCTTAGGACAGAAAAACGGAAGAGCACTCAAGATTATCTGTGACCTTCCCAAAAAATGGCTGACATTAACAGAGTGGTCCAAATATAGAGTGTTCATGATCAGCAGGTTGATGAGTTGGTTAGAGTGATGACAAAGGCCTTCTGATGAATGAGTGGGACACTGAGCAGCTGGGGTGACTTCTGATTCTGTGAGTCTCTTACTTTATGAAACAAGGATAATGATTAATTCAATCAGTTAACAAGTACGTATTGCATAGTCATTATGTATCAAGCACTGTGTCAAGTGCTGGAGATGTAACACAGAAGAGTCAAATAAGAGCTGTCTCATACAACTTACGATCTACAAGACAGATATCACATAAGCAAACATGAATTTCAAATATTGCTAAGGGGAAATCTAGTACTATGAGAACTTTTATTAGAGGTATACCTGGGCAGGAATATGAGGATGGGTCTTTCAAGATATATAACTCTT